GAGCTGCAGGTTGTTTGCTACCTCTGGCGTGGAGAAAAGGATTTGGGGCTCTGTGTCCTGGCTGAGCCCAAGGAAGAAAGCAAAATCCTAAATGGATATGTAGGATCTGAACCTATGTGGAACATTAGTATCAATTCTCCCTTTCTAGATAGAATCCCACTCAGAGAGGTGGAAAAGCCCCAGGAAGGAAGAGGGGTATCAAGGCTTATCAGCCTCTCATGGTGACTCATAGGCCCTCAGGCGCAGCCCTGTCCTCAGGGTCCTGCATCTCCACAGCAGCTGAGGAGGTCCCCGACCGACTGCCATGCCAGGTGAGTCCTACAGCAGAGCTCACACAACCTGAGGAAAAGGAAGCAGGACCCACACACCAGGCTGATGATCAGGACACCTCAGCAGAATGGGAGCCTGCTACAGAAGTTATGACTCATCCAGGAAAGCAAGTCTTCTTCCTGGAGCTTGTGGGTGAGAGGGGAGGTCCCTCTGATCCCCAAGAGCCCCCTGCAGCAAGCCTCAGAGCCTAGTATCTGGGGCAGCGGTCCCCTCCCTGTGGGAGAAATGGGCTAAGATGAGGGGACACTCTCGGGTCTCTAGTGATTCAGAAAATCTTCTTTTCCTGGTCTTGTTTGTGGCCATTCCTGCTGCTGCTGCTGCTGCTGTTGTTGTTCTTTCTTCTTGTTTTTCTTGTTCTTCTTGTTCTTCTTTGATACTGGGGATTGAACCTAGGGGCTTCTACACTGGGCTACTTTCCCAGGCCTTTTTAAGCTTTTTATTTTTGAGGCAGAGTCTTGCTAAGTCATTAAGTTCCCCAGGCTGGGCTCAAACTTGTGACCCTCCTGTCTTAGCCTGCCAGAGTGCTGGATTTACAGTCGTGCACCACCAAGTCCACCTGTTCATTTGATTTGATCTAAATATTATCCATAATTTTCAGGGTTTGCGCTTTTAAAAATTATGACTATACCACATAATTAATGTACTAAGAGGTTTTGTTTTCATTCTGAACTGAGTCTGTTTTCAGCTGAAGAATTTTGACTGTATTTACTATTTTGTTGAATCATTTCCTGGCTTTATATTTTGTTTTAATTTTTATATTTCCTCATCTTTTTTCCATGATGTCTTTTGTTTATTCATATCTTGTAAGTACATGTGGTAAGTAATAGACAATTAATTTAAAATAAACAATGAACATTTCCTTTCCTATATTTAGCCCTAACTAATAACAATTAGAACTTTCAATTCTCTTTTAAAAAAAAAAAGTTTTGCTTTTACTGCCTACCAAATAAAGGCAGGAAGTATTCAAAAGAATGAAAAAAACCCCATCATGTAATGGAAAGACATATTTAATAATAAAGTATTAAAATTATTGAATATATATGACCCCAAAATATAGCTGCAAAATGCATAAAGTGAAAATTGGTGCAGTGGGGCTTGTAGCTTAGTATGCATGAAGCCCTGGGTTTAATCCTCAGCGCTGCAAGAAAAAAATTGGAAAAATACAAGAAAATTTCATTTTAGAAAAGCAATTATGATAAGAAATTTTAATGTCTCATTATCAGTTAAGCTTGAATTCAACTGCATAACTGAAATGCAAATATGGCAGCTCAATCAAATGACATTTTCCTGAAGTAACAAGAAATCTGATACCAGGCCTCCAGGCCTGGTGTAAAGGTTCCAGAATTTATTAAGTTCTCAGTACTTCACCCTCTGCTGCACATAGTGCGCTGTTCTTGACCTCATTATATAAAGTAGCTACTATGGGTCTGGACATTGACTCTGAATTCCAGGCAGAAGGGAAAAGGATGGAAGGAAAAGTCATATGCTAGCTGAATTAGTGTGGAGAACACCTTGGAATAAGATGGAATTGTATAACCCTAAGTGTGCTGTAACCCTAAAGTGTGCTGTGACTTTAAGAGTGCTGTAACCTAAGTATAATACAATCATAAGAGTGATGTGTAATCATAAGATATGAAAGTAGAACCTTAAGCGGTATGGAACTGATAAGGGTGTAGCCCGAACTGGACGGGGTGTACCTCCAAACTGGACAGGGCATACCCCGAATTGGGCAGAGTGTGCCCCCAAGCTGGACAGTGTGATAAGTCTGAACCAATACCACGAATGCCCAGCTAAAATAGTATAAAAGGAGCTGAAGACCCCAAGCAAGTCGACGGTCCATCCCACCGACCAGTCGACCAGTCAATCTGATGATCTGACTACCGACTGAGACATCTGCACACCTGATCCCGCTGGGAGGAGCATCGCCACCGACCAGACGAGACCAGAGGCGGATAGCCTACCGCCAACTCTACTCGATGCCCTTCGTCTACGGATCGGACCCTCTGACCCTGTGGGAGGAAACGTCGCGCTCCCATTAAGGACTTGCGCAGTACAGGTACAGGGACGTGGTAATTGGCAGAGTTAATATTGTGTGGTAATTGTATTGAAATGAATTAGGATAATATAAGATAAGTGTGTGAATTGCCATCCGAGTCCGAGTCCTCTTTACCCACGGTACCTGCTCGCGACAATTAGTTTCTCTCGATTGGAAAAACATCTTTCCTAGAAACTCCACACAATAGTCTCTCTTTTGAATCTCGCTGGGCATCTACTAGGTTACGTGATTGTTTCTGTTTGCAAGCATGGTAATTAGTTTTTCTACTAGGCACATTGCCATCTTGAACAAAGTAAACCAGTCTTATGGGCTGAGTGTGCCCCCTGCCATATTGAAGGCCTATCCCCCAATGTGATGGTGTTCGGAGACTGGGTTTATATTAGGTCATGAGGTAGGACATTCGTGGGATTAGTACCCTTGTGCAAAGAGGAAGAGAAAGAGAAATCTCTCTCCATGAGTGCACCAAACATACACAGCAAGAAGGCTGCTGTCAGCAAGCCAGGAAACAGGTCACCACCAAACCGCACATCTGCCAGCACCTTGATCTTGCTTGGACTTCTCACTCTACAAAATAGTGAGAAGTAAATGTTGCTTAAGTCACCAGTCTATGGTATTTTGTGATAGCAGCCTAAACTAAGACAATCAGTAAAAAATTAGGAAAGGCAATACAGAATGGAGACATTAAAAATAAGGAAGCATGTTTTATATTTGTTTAATATTTGTTAAAGTTTAGATTTTTATATTGTAAAAAAAAAAGTTGGTATTTTTATTCATATGCTCAAATGTTATAGACTTTTTAATTTTTATTTCTTGTTTTTCCTGTCTTGGTTGGCATCTCCTTTCTCAATTCAAATTCTTAGAATTATAGATTTACTTTTCAAACACTAAGTTTTTGGTTTTATTTATTGAGCCCACTGAAATCATTTTTCATTTTCAAAACTTTCTCCTGCTTTTATTGCCATGTTCTTCCTTTTTTACTTTGGGTTGACTTTTCATTCCTTTCCTAGTATCCTAAGTTCAGTTTTTTTAAAAAAGTTCCCTTTTTAAAACCACAAAAAAATTTAAAAATTTAAGTCATAAAATTTCCTAAAAGTACCTCTAAATACATTCCATCAAGATTACTGTGGCATGTTTTTAACAATCATTGTTTTTTGAACAAATTCCTTTTTTTGTTCTTGACTTCCTTTTTAATCCAATTGTTGATTCAGTGAGTATTTTTAAATTTCCAAGTAGTTGGTTTATTTTTACTTTTTACTTTATTTTTCATCCTATTTTGGCCAGAGTGCACAGCACACATTACTTCTTTTCTTTTTGAATTAGTTGAGATTATGTTTGTGATCTGGCATGTGATAGATGAAACCATTTGGCTATCTGCCATGGACAGATGAAAATTATACATAGTACAAGAAACCCACCAATTTCATCTCTAAGGCACTTTTTCTCAACTGTTGGGGCAGGCAGGGGGCCTAAAATCAGGGTCAAGGAATATCTCAGGTCTGGTTAGTGGGAGTGACATAGAGACCACAAAGAACAAACAAACTCCAGGGCCCTTATCTTTATTATTAAAAGCACGATTTGTACTTTCTTCTGAGACAGACAGGGACTTAATAGTGGTTCTTACACACACACACACACACACACACACACACACACACACGATTTCATTTGGGCCTATAAATGCCCAGTAGGTAACTAAAAGTAACAAAGCTTGACCTTCCTTTTGTAAAACTCTATGTCAAGTTCATCTCAGCTCTGCTTACAGCATGTTAGTCATTTAGGTAGTGTCTGTTTATAAGTTGGCCCTCAATTTACCCAGCCTATCTCATTAATTTTTAACACTGAGGATACCAGGATAAGAGATTTACAGGAACATTCAGCTATGACCAGAAATCTCTATGGCCCTAAACCTAGAGTCCCCTGGATTCCAGCAGGGCCTCACGTGATGAGATTGTTCTTTAAGCCATGAGGATTCTTCTTATGGGAACCGAATTGCCCTTGAAGTCACAAGGATTCAACCTGAGCCACAAAACTAGGACTGAGATAAAAACCTACTGGACCCTGGCACACCTCAGCTAATCCTTAAGAGTTGGCCTCCTGCTTTTGTGGGTGGCCAATCTGACCTTGATCGGAGTGTGGCCCCTCTAACAGATCATGCTGGAGTCTTTGTCATCTTCCTCTTACTTTGCCATAGAAGCTTTTGCCTGGAAATTCATACTGTGACTTCAACTTTAATTTCCATTATCACTAAAGCAAGGACTCAAACTAGTTTGTGATGGGTGACTTAGCTAGGAAAGGCACCTCTCACCTAATTTATGAGAGTGTTGCTGAACTAGACAGGGAGAACTAAAGAGAACAGCTGGTGAGGGAGAACAACTTAGGAAGTCCTACTTGGTACAGGCTCTGTAGGGCTTAACTGAACTAGAAGTAGAAGGCTTTGGGGTTGATCTCATTAGTGCTGCCAAAGGTCAAACGTGTCTGTAGTATGGTCACAGAAGAGCCAAGAGCCAAGAGCCAATGAATAGACTAGGTCTTTACTAAAATGTATTGGTCTTGTCTGGGTGTGGTGGTGCATGCCTATAATCCCAGGAAGCTGAGTCAGGAGGATCTTTGTGAGTTTGAAGCCAGCTGAGCTACATAGTAAATTCAAGGCCACCCTCAACTACATAGTAAGACCCTGTTTCAAATCAAACAAACAAATAAAAACTGTTCATCTTGGGTGAGGCTGTAGCTCAGTGGTAGAGTATTGGCATGTGCAAGGCCCTAGGTTTGATCCCCAACACCCCCCACCCCTCAAAATGAGTATTGGACTTAAAGTACCTATGCAGTCTGTATGTTTCTGGGCCTTGGTAGCTGTCTCCTCTTGCATGGTTCATTCCAAGAGGTAAAATATGGCTTGACCCTAAAATCTAATAATAGTAATACACAAATATTCTAGGTCATATCTTTCTCTGTGTGTGTGTGTGTGTGTGTGTGTGTCTGTGTGTGATAATCCCCAAAGGGATCAAGTTTAGCTCTTGAAGGGGGTTAAAAATATTACTCTTTGTATGTAGGAAGTGCAGCTATATGTATCCTACATATATAGAGATGCAGTATAGCTGTGTTTTAAAATTAAATGGAGGGACAATTAAGAAAAAGCCTACACAGGCTCCTTAGGAAGGCAATAATGACCTCATCATAACTAGTTACCTCTGCAATGATCTGATTTCCAAATAAGGTCCCATTCATTCTCAGATATTAGTCATTAGAACTCCAGCACATCAATTTCTAGGAGACATAACTTAACCCACACGAAGCATCCTATGAGTATCGAATAAGATCAGGAGCAGGGCTGGAGTTAAAAGGAGCCAGGGAAGAGGACTCAGGAAAGATGATGCCACTAACCTCAGATCGCACAGGATGTGCCCACCAGTGGGGCACCTCTGCCACCATCACACTGAGCCTGCTGCTGCCAGCTCCCCACAACCCAGCCTGGTCGGGTGCTGGACTACCAGGCAAGCCGGGCCACAGGCTCATGTTTAGCTGCCAGGAGACAGAAAAGCTGTTCCACTTGCTTTGGGGTGGGAGGCAGTCCTGCCTCCACAATAGCAGAAATTCCCTCACAATAAGAAAAGCTGTGGGGGGCGGGGGATGTAGCTCAGTGGTACTGCCCTTGCCTGGCGAATGTGAGGTCTCGAGTTCGATCTCCCTCCACCAAAAAAAAAAAAGAAGCCGTAAGGCTTGGCAGATGAAAAGATGAATGTCACTTTGGAGCTGCTTGCCCCATCCTGTACATGGGTCCTCAGACGGTGGAACAGGAGCATCCTCTCTCAGGAGCATCTCAGAAATGCAAATGTGGTCTACGGCCATACCACCCTGAATGAACCCGATCTAGTCTGATCTCTTGGAAGCTAAGCAGGGTCGGACCTGGTAAGTATTTGGATGGGAGAAATACAAATGTGGCCCCAAACCAGATTTACTGAATCAGAAGCTCTAGGGTGGGGTCCAGCAAACTTTTCAACAAGTGATCCAGGGGATTCTTTTCTCTCCTCTTCATTTCCTTTTTACAGCTCAATTGAGATATAGTTCACATCCAGGAAATTACACATAGAATTTGGAGAGTTTTGGCATATGTATATACACAGGAAACTATGAAGACAATGTACATATTTGCAGAGAGTGGTGGCACACACCTGTAATTCCAGTACTCAGGAGGCTGAGGCAGGAGGATCATCATGAGTTAGAGGCCAGCCTGAACTACATCATGAGAACCTGTCTCAAAAAACAAAACAACATCAAAATGTTATGCACATATTCATCACCCCTCAAGTTTCCTTGTGCTCTGCTGGATCCCTTCCTCCTACTCCTCCCACACAGATTCCCAATATCACCAGTCAACCACTGAGCTGTTAATATAATTAGTTTGTAATTTTTTATAATGTACTCTTTTTTGTCTTGTTCCTTTCGCTCAGAATAATAAATTTGATATTCATTAATATTATAGTATGTCATTCCTTTTTATAGTTAATATACATCATGATGATATACATATTTGTTTATTAACCTATTAATGGACATTTAGATTGTTTTCTATTTGGAGCTATTATAATGCTGCTATGAATATTCATATAGAAGTCTTTTTTTTTCTTTCAGTACTGGGGATTGAGCCCAGGGATTTCACACTGAGCTACATTCCCAGCTCTTTTATCTTTTTTTAAATTTTGAGTCTTGCTAAGTCATTCAATTGGTCAGGCTGGACTTGAACTTGTGATCCTCCCGCCCCAGCCTATCTAAATTCTGGGATTATAGGTGTATTCATGTAGAAGTCTTTGTATAAACATATGCTTTGATTTCTGTTGGGTAAACACCTAGAAGTAGAGTGATTAGATCATATGGTACATGTAAGTTTATCTTTCAAAGAAACTGCCAAACTATTTTTCAAAATAGTTGTTCTATTTTGCATTCCCATTAGAAATGTGTTAAATTTCTTACATGTCTTTGTCAACACTTGGTAGATCCAGTCTTTAAACATTTTAGTCATGCTGATAGATATGTAGTGCTATCTGTGACTTTTATTTACATTTCCCTAAGGCCTAATATTGAACATGTTTTCATGTGTTTATTTGCTATCTATATATCTATTTTGGAAAACTATCTGTTCAGATATTTTGTCCTTTCTTATTGAGTTATAAGAACTCTTCATACATTTTAAAGCAAGGCTTTTGTCAGATATTATATTTTGGAAATATTTTCTCCTAGTCTCAACTTATCTTTTTATTTTCGTAACAGTGTCTTTAGATATAAAAAATAAAAGAGCAAGGGGCCAGGGATTTAGCTCAGTGGTTCTGCTGCCTGCCTCGCAAGGGCAAGGTCCTGAGTTTGATCCCCAGTACCAAAAAAAAAACAAGATTTGGTGGGTTTTTGGGTTTTTTGCATATGACTTTCCTGTTGTTCCAGCACCACTGTTGAAAATCCTTCCCCTAGACAAACTGCCTTGACAACTCTCCGCAAAGGTTAACTGATCACATTTGTGTGAGTCTATTTCTGGTCTTCTGTTCCAACAGATATACATTTGTCTGTCATTACACCAATGCAACATTGTCTTTATCTTATGTTAAGTCTAAAATCAGATGATTTTAGTCTTCCAGCTATGTTCTTCCTTTTTAAAGTTCTTTGGGTTATTCCAGTCCCTTTGAATTTGCAGGCAAAATTTAGGATCAACTTTTAAATTTCTGTGAAGATTGTGCTGGGATTTTGATTGGGATTGTATTGAAGCTATCAATATGGGGGGAATGCACATCCTAACAATATTGAATCTATTGATCCATAAATTTAGAATATCTTTCCATTTCTTTGTTTCTTCTTTAACCTTTATCAGCAATGTTTTGTAGTTTTCAGTGCACAAGTCCTGCACACCTCAGATTTACTCCTAGCAAGCTCTCTACATGAATCTGATGCACAAGTTAAGATTACTTTCTCTAAATCACCACTGTTGTTTAAATAGTGCTAGAAAAGTACTTGTTAGGATAAATTGTGCAAAAATATATTGCCAAAAGGGCCAGGGATTTAGCTCAGTGGTACCATGCCTGCCTCAGAAGCGCAAAGTCCTGAGTTCAATCCCTGGTACAACAACAACAACAACAACAACCAAAATATATATATATATATAGAGAGAGAGAGAGAGAGAGAGAGAGAGAGAAAGGAGAGAGAAAGAGAGAGCAAATGTAACTGAGAATTTAGAAAACCTAAAAGCATGGATAATTCACATGAGTTAAATCAGTTGGGTTAAGTGGATTAATATAAAACACAACGTGTATCTAAAACATAACTGTGTCATCCCTGAGAAAAAGTAAAGCCTTTAACATCATGTCCCTGAGATACCCTTTTGTGTATAAGGGAAGCACAGAGGGAGGTCAAAGGGGACACCTGTGATTGGAACAGGAAGAGCAGCTAGAGTCTGTAGGACATCATGCTTGATGGTTCTCTGGTGAATGGGCAGGAAGGAATACAGTGCTCTTCTCAGCCAGGCCTTGCTCTACCACGCCCTCTTGTCACCTACTCTCCTCACTCAGGGCACTTCCTCGTCTGTGGGAGGAAGGGAATAAGATACTTGTTCCTTGTTCCACACAGGGCCTTGCCTCATCTGAGGGAGGAGGAGAGTTAGGCCTGCCCATACTGATCTACTGCAAAGGGCTCCCAGCAGTTTAACTTTAAGAGCCCATCTCTGTGTGGTAACTTGGGGCAGAACAGAACACAGGGGAGAGGATAGGAGGTACTAGGCCAGGTGGCCGCCACTGGACTTGCATTTTGGTGAGGCGCCATGAGGGATGGAGGTGCTATTTGTCCAGCCTGCTGCCACCGAACCTCCTGGCTAATACGCATCCAGCCTGGACCTTTCAAGTAGCATTGTTGATTCTATACATGCTTCTCACAGATCCTTCCCTGTGTCAATGACACTTATCTCTTACAAGCCAGCTCCAACATTTTCTTCTTTCTCTTGGCCACCTACTCCACTGCCCTGGCGTACCTGAGCTATGGCCAAGACAGCATAGTTCCTTTGAATTAATTAGAAATTTTAATCAAAAGTGAGATCCATTCATACTGGTGACCTAAAAACTACTAAATGAGAATTTTAATCATATTCAGTGATCTAATTTATGTTTTTTAAAAAGCATGTATATTCTTCTGTGTTTACAATTATGTATGCAAATGAATGGAAAACGGTCTGAAAGTCTGAAACAAGTGCTTTCCCAGGAAGGACAAAGGTTGGAGGAAGTTTGAGGGGAGGGATTGTTTATCTCCTTTGAATTTTTCCAATGATAATGTATTAATGCACTACTTATATAATAATAAAAAATTTTAAAACCAGCATATATGGCCCCATATCAAATTACTGATATCTTTGTGTATGCACAAAATAGTCTCAAAAGATGATCAGAAACTTAATAGCCATTATGTATAGATGGATAAATTACAGATGATACTGTGGGTTCTTTTTGTTTGTTTGTTTTGTTTTGTTTTGCGTTTTGAGACAGGGTCTCGCTATGTAGTTCAAGCTGGCATGCAACTCACTACGTAACATAGGCTGGCCTCAAACTCAAAGTGATCCTCCTGCCTCATCCTCCCAAATGCTGGAGTTACTGGGGTGTGCCACCACTCGCGGCTTCACTACAGTTCCTTTTTAGTGTTATTTAATGTTTTATAAATGAGCATTTTTATTTTTATAATAAAAAAGTAATAAAGATATCCTTATTTTGAAAAGAAACAAACAGAATCTAAGCAATATCATTTATGAAATGAACAAGTATACTTTCAAAACTAAGGAGAAATAAAACATAATCAAATGGAAAAATAGATCATGTTTTTAACTATACTTTATAGCATATCCACATATAAACATAATAAGGATAAATCTTCCCATGCTATAAATAGTTTATTATAGCATCAGTTAGCTTTTCAAAATAAAATCTTCCTGTTAAAATATTTATTTCCTTCTCCTGTTATGAAAACCACTAATCATAGTAAAACAAATGAAAAATACAGAGGGAAGGAGGCTTCCATTTTCCATGAGTCAAGGAAACTGCCACAGCACCAGACCAGAGCTCACAAAGCAAGTCTTTTAGTTATTGTGGGATGGGAAAGAGACCAGGAAAGAGCTACTACCAGTTGCCTCTCCGAACTCAGGGTAGAACCAGATCTCACCAAAACTCTGTGGTGCGAGCTTAGCTGATCACTTTTGACTTCATCTAGAAGGTGCGGCAGCACAGGCTGGCCCCCAGAGACGGATGGGGCGGTATCCCTTAGAGAGCAGCCAGCAATGCGGGGTAACAGGATAGGCCAGGCTGTAGGAACCACCTTGCTGAACTTCCCTCCAAAAAGGAAGATATGTGGGGCTGGTGGGAGAGGAAGGAGGAAGTAGAGATCAGAAGAAGGAAATGGAGACCACCGGATTGCACCCAAGGCCCATGCATCTGGACCACATGGACTTCTGTCTACTAAATGCTTTGGGGGGAGGATCTTCAAGAAAAAGGAAACAACTGAAAGAATTTCCAAGACAGCAATGCCTGTTAAAGCTGTGCAATCTCCTCACTTTGTTCTCCACTCTTCATAATGTTATTCACTGCATAATGGCACTCATTCAATCCAAATAATATTCAAAAGAGGACCATATAGGATTTTATGCCTAGAAATTTTAAAGGAAGAAAATATACAATAAAAGCTGATAAAAATAAATAAATATCACAAGAGAAATAACCTAAGAAAACAGAGATGATGTTCAGATAAATTTTCCATATTCTCAAATTTCAGACAGAATTCTTTTAGAAAGTGACTCTCCAAAAAAGACATAAGAATTTAAAGAATTTTATAAAATGATCAAATGACAGAAAAAGAGAAAAAGTAAACCAGTAAATTCAAGATAAAAATGGAAGAGCAAAACATGACAAGATTACATTAGAAGCAACAGAACACAGGATAAAAATAACTGACAACGCATAGTGGGAAGACTCCAGGATATTACTCAAAGTAAAATGAACAACAACAAATTTCAAGACTTGCTAATGATTCTAGAGGAAATTACTATTGTTATAAAAGACCAAGAAAAGAGATGCTAGCATTTCTGGAGGAGATAGGTACTTTTGAAGAAGAAAAGGTAAATACATTTTTTAAAAATAAAATTTTCTTGAAATAAGATTGGTTTGAATCTGCCAATCAAAAGATACATATTCCAAGAAAAATTGATACAGACTGTTCAACATCAGGCCCTATCCCAT